GGAACTGTCTATTGAGGACCCCAAGTCCTCAGCAATTATACGATCAGGCTCAAGGACTAGTCGACTGTATTTTCCCGCGTTCGAAGTATAGGTTTCATTTCAAACCCCATGTTCATCTTAATGCACGTCGGAAAACGTGTAATTAAATTCATCATGAGATAAACAACTATGAAAACACTCCTAAACAGAATGAAACTATCAAACTACAGTGAAACGCGTGTGGTTTGTCGATGGTAATTATAAGTAACTGGGCAAGATTAGACTTTAGACTGATAGAATGATTTGGTGAAATTCTCGACATGGGTCATTAAGCTGATTTCAGTTTGTAAATCTAGTTAATATAACCAAGCTAAAATAGTTAATAAAATGTTGTACAAGATTATGATACTTGAAAAATAAATTAACATGCAATTGGTTGGACGGATAGTCAACGAATTGTATAAGAGTCAGAAAAGTTACAAAGATGCATAAGTACTAATAGCCAAATACAAAATGGTGGCTAATATTGACAAGTAATTTTAATTTGATATTTATATGTGATGATAAGCATATGAAGTGGAACGGTAGAGAGAGATAAGGTTTATTGGTTATACATAGGCAGAGATATACAGGGTATACTGTAAGTAAACAGACAAACACCGGCAATAAGGCAAAATGAGATATAACCTGACTAGCTTAGCCTTATTCTACCTCATTTTACAACTAAAAATCGACCGTGATATTTTAGTGGTTTTTATTTGCTTTTTTTGAACTTTGTTCCGCTTAATGGGATATTTTAAATGCAAAAGAAAAGTTTTTTTTTTGTATTTTTTCATAAAACTAGCCGTTTATTTAGTTGTACCAATTTTTAAATTGTAAAAAAAATATTCTTTATTTTCAGTATAAAAACAAACAAATTGTGCTTTTTGATTAATAATTATGTCGAAGGATTTTCTTAAAATGTTTGAAACAAGAAAAGAATTATGCAGGAAGTAACTAAGACATGTTACAGCTGTTTCATGAATCTTGTAAAGATGAACTAAGAGCTAATCTGATTGGTCCAGTTCCACCAATCAGGTTAAGCAGTCAGGCCAGTATAAAAGACTAGGTTTGCATGTTAGATCCCGCTTTAAGTCAGAATGTGTTGTACAGTGATGTTAAGAAAAGTTAAAGTTGTTAATATATTTTAGTGAGATTAAGCCCAGGAAAACTGGTATGTAAATCAATTTTATTAAAACATTTAGTTCATCTAGTAGGTCTGTTAAAAGAAAAATGATTAAACATTGATTATATTTTAAAAACTATTAAATTTGTTTGTTTTTAGGGCACATGATTGTTGGTAACCAAAAGCAATTTAAATTAAAGAATGATGGTGAAGAATTTGAAGTATGTTATTTCCAATCATAAAACCTATTTTCAAAATTAATTGTAATGAAGCTATAATCAAGAATTTTAGGAAGAAATTAAATTAAAACCAAAGTTTCGTTACATAGTAATTTAATTATTTTTGTGCAACTTAAAATCGTGATATTTCAACTATTTTTTGCCAATCTTTTTGAACTTGGTTTAATTTGATAAGAAATTTAAATGGAAAATAAACGTATTTTAGGAATTTTTTTCATAAAAAAAATCTTTCTTTTTTTTTAATTATAAAAAAATAAAATGGTCACCATTAAGCAACTTTGAATCGGGTTGAGTCAAGTTTTTTTTGCATAAATCTCTTAACATAGGTACATACTAAGTTGCATATAGATCGGTTGCAACAATTCAAAATTAAATATAAAAATAATGTGGATATCTAGAACGAAGCGAATTAGGGGAAAATTTCAATCTTGATTTTCTCTTTAATCTTAACCGTATAACCAATTCCCGGAGTTTGGCTGCTTACTTACGGGAAACCCTGTATAAGTTTAGAGTGCCAGGTAAAGGGGATAGACGTGTCAGAATAAAATACACTTCAAAAGATATAACGCGATGAAATGGTGGATTCAGGGAAAGAGGGTCTACTGTAGAAACATAAATGAATGTGTATATAAGCTAATGAACCAGAACGATTACCAGATAGGTTACTGTAAACTGATAGAGACATCGATGTTTAAGGGGTTGAATGTGAATGAATATGTATATTAATGTGTAAATGGATAGTACAGGGATAGAGGGCTAACCCGGCGAGCTAGTCATTCCCGGTGACGCAACTAGCCGGTGTTTATTAGGTTTGTGTGTCAAGTTCTATGGCCAGTGCGCTTGGGACAGGCCTTATACTGTGACCGACCACAGTCATACCATGTAGACAAGGTTATCAGTGCCTTGGACTTCATACAAACTGCAGAATATCCGTCATCGATGCATTTGAAGTGTTTGATAAGATTGGTGACATGTCTTATAATTTTTTTACTTGCCCCTAAAACGATTTTTTAATTCTGTGGCCTCAATCATTTCCCAGTTAGCCTATAGCGTTGGCTCAAAATAATCTAATGATAATGTTATGTGACAGTAACGACTTTTAATTTGGTATAAGGCGCGTTTTCTCATGAAAATCGTTTGAGCGGTTTAAACAAAAACAAAATATTCATTTAGTCTTCTTGGTGAGAGTACCCGGTCTGGCTGCCATTGTAGGTTTTGTCTTAAGATTCATCAAAGCCTAAAAATGCAGTTGATTCAGATTGTTGGATAAGATTTTATATTAATGATGATGTTACATTTTATCTTAATATTAATTTACTTTCACAATGCATCTGTCTGTCACTTAAATCAACTATAAATTACCTTAGTCTGTAGGTTTCGTAGGTCATTCTTAGAGGGCGGTGTTAAGTTAAATTAAATAGATTATACCATTTTTGGGGTGCAATATTCTATTTTCAATTTCCTCCTCGGTCAGTAAAAAGTTGAATGAGTCAACAATCATTTTATGATTCGATTGGATAGCAACGGACATAGACTAACTATATTTCCAATTATAATAAGTGCAGTTCAGTTCTCCATTACAGTACTATATAGACAATTTTTTTACTGTGAAAATTCATATAAACTATTCCACACTCGCGAATATTAGAAAAACTGTATGGATCATAAAAATAACACATGACGTCACTGGCTATACTAATAGCTGTAACAGCTGGTTTGACAGTTCCATTCAAATTTAATGAAATCATGTATACTTTCAGGCGAGTGACATCATTTGTTTATGTATATGGTCCACACCGTTTCTGTTCTAATATTTACAAGCACACCTAATAATTTTCATTTACTCTACTAACTCGAAATCCTACGCAACGGTAATTCATTCAGTTAATTCATTTACCCCTCAGATTTTATTGAGAGATCATTTGACAGGGTTGCTGCAAAAAAGTATCTTTGTTGGTTTAGTTCAGGGGATATCCATTATTTTGTACCATTGTCCTTCAACATATAGGATACCAAAAGGCACGTCCTATCTCCAATTTCTCTATTACTGTTATACATTTCACTCTCTCAACTAATTCCAAATCAAATGGCACATGGATAATTTTCAAGGTGGCCCTATCGCTTGACAGTTCAGCACTTATCTCAGAGATTTCTGATTCTAAATTCTGGACGGCTTCGAGATCTGCACTTCAGAAATCTAAATGAGCAATTGGTTTCCAGATTGATTGCTCACAAGACAAATATTTATGTATGTAAAAGGTGAGATTGGACTATTGGTTAGAGCGCGGAATTTGAGTCTGGGAGACCCAATAATAAATCTCACTAATCCACTATGATAATCCACTTTATAATTCCGAAAACCAAAATATTTCAGGCGAGGAAATCCTTCCATGGAATGGAGAAGTATCACAATTAAATCCATGTGACAATGAATATAGCCTATAATTTATATCTTATTTATTCTGAAGATCTATAGATATTTTAACCTAGAAAATGGTGAATAAAGGTTGGCAAAATACATGTAGCATTGCACTTGAATTACTGGCACTTGTCTTCCAATATTGATTTATGACTCTGAGCCAGACGTTGGCTGGGGGAGAGGTGGAATTGCCGTTTGCAGCACGGGTTAATGTGGATCAAGGGCAGGTTAAGTTCAACTCGTTTTTGCATAACTCGTTCCGTTCTTTTGGTTCTAGGTGATTGGACGCCAATGCCCATAGCCTCACACGTTCACTATAGTTTCTGGATAAACCGATAGAAATTTTAAATTTAATGAAACTATGGGGTCATTTTTAGGTCTGAGATTCAATTGCACCTTAATCTGTAGGTTTAGCTGGTGTATGAAAAGGATGAGTGAGCATTTACTCCTTGCATTTCTTTCTAATCGTTTTACATTTATAATTTTTCTACAGTGTTCATAGGGCAATGAGTATATTCGCGAGGAGATGGAGAATTTCAAACGAAACCCGTTTTCACTACTTTTATAAGATATGACCGGGAATGAAGGTAAAATATATTGAAAGAAAAATGAAAGAAGTGCGTTATAAATATATCAATGTATATATAGGATATTATGATAAAAGTCAATTATCTTCGTTACGTGTTGTGTCTAAACAGGTCTAAAGAGGTACTATTTTAATACTTTCAATAAAATATTATAGATAACCTGTTTGTAAATAAATAGATGCGAATTAACTATAATCATTTATTTAAAGTGTTAAAAAAGTAACTCTAATCACAAACATTATGCAGCAGTTGTTTGGTTATACAGTATATGAAAAAATTATAATACCCCAGTTCCAAGAACCTGTATTTATATATTCAAACCTCCAGTTGTTTTATTGCATTTTTGTCAATGCTGGAACAAAATCCACCCTTAGGCTTGTGTCCCAATTTAAGTACTGTAATACAACCCCCCCCCCCTCACTTCCCAAACTCAGCTGGGGAGGTTGCTGAATATGTGTTGTTATAATACAAATTTAAAATAATCATCTAAAATTTGTTTAAATTTGTTTCCTAGTGTATGTTACTGACTACAATCACTTATCAAATGAAGTTTGGTTGAGTTTACAGACTATTTTATTATATATAAAAATTATAAAATAAATGTAACTTACAGCAGTACGAGGAAGACTTATGCCTGGTAGGTACCACCCTAGGGCCTGTCCCCGACCCCGCTGAAGAGCTGTCTCCTTGACTCTGGTCTATGGTTGTCAACAACCTCTCGTTCACTTTGGGATCAGTGGCGACTTTTTCCACCGTCTTGTGTTTCTTCACCCCGATATCGAACCCTTTAATGCACAGGTCTTCTGCAGACTTAAGAATCACCAAACGCGGGCTAGATCCCAACAGAGTCTTTCGTAAGTTTAAACAGTCACTTTTGTCTTTTTTAGTTTTCATTTTCTCCGCTCGAGTTTTCTCACAGTGTATTTTGACGTCCGCCATGTTCCTCTGGTAGAAGTTCTTGTCGGCGACCCCTAGGTCACCCGCGCCTTCGCTCCTGGAGTTCATCTGTCCGATCCTCGGCCACTAGCTCATCTTTGACACGACCTGAAACATGGGCAACTGATATAGGAGCGACCATGGTGTCGGTTTAATGAACTGTGATGCGTTGATAGACCAGTGACCTGAATGTAGGTTTTACTTTATTCGATCACAATATCAAGACTATTGAACCGTTTGCTGCTGATGCAATCTTTCCTACTATAACCGATCGTATGTAACATGTAAGTGTAAGATTTCAAATGTAAACAAACTGTTCATTTGATGTTTAGATTAAGTCATTAGTTAATGTTTGTTTTCGTCACCACATCATACTAAAGCATTGTTAACTCGCGATCACAGTTAAAACTAAGTAGGTCAAGCGGACGCGTTTACGTGTATTTTATACTGTTATGATTCGTTTGTCAGATCGGTTGGATCCGTTGCATTAAGTTCAATTCCCATCAGACCAAATCATTTAAAACTGTAGCCTTTTACCCAATGATACAAGTATAAATTTGAACAAGTGGGATTTTGAGCTAACAAAACATTCCCAATATTTTCAGGGATCCTCGTTTGTCACAAACAGTTTTATGAATTATTTGCACAATTAGTGTTGTGCAATTAGTTGTGTTAATGTTTTGTATCACATGTTTTGTTCGACGATTGTAACATTACAATTCTACTATTTACCTCTAAAAATTAGCTAGCTTAAGTCTAAAATAAAAAGAATAAAAAATTACATTAATTACTAAGGTAATCAGCACCCGCATGTATTAAAAAAGCAAAGTTTTTAATTAATCCACTGAACACAGTTCAATCTTCATTAGCTATCAGCGAATTGAGATATAAATGGATATGACCTAAAGGTCTAACAATATCCAAACACTTTTTGGCATTTACCTTGCTAAGTGCTGTGTCTACTGTATACAAGCCATGTATTTAAAGCAAGTGCGTACGTAACTATAAGGCAATATGGCACTTGATATAAGGCGGGGTAGGTTTACAGAGAGTCACAGTTAACCTCAAAACTTATAAAACTGCAAAATTAATCAACCGTCTATGTTTGGACATTCTCTTTGTTTATGTTTATGTTAAATGTTTTCTGCTAATTTACATTTAGAAGTTTTACGGAGTGCACATCCGCCTTTCGGGATTTTTTAGCTAACGTATTCAAGAACGTACACAAAACGTGACGTGAAGTTCAAGCTCAACAATGTGTATAACTGCTTGGGATTCCCAACAACCTACGTGCAGTCGACCCTATGTCTCGGCAAACACATTAATACCAAAGAATGTATCGTGGTTTGCTCAATGGATTCGTGAACAGAAAATTAACCATACCATTCATCAGTGTCACCCAAACAAATGAAAAATTGTTGTCAGTTACAATGGAATTATTTGTTTCTTTTATGTCCGGAATATTTGAATTCAACTAAAGCCGTCTAAAATTTAATCTTACTTCCATTTTGATGTGCTATAGTTTGACCTTTATACTTTTTAACAGTCAACTTTATTATTTTAAAATAATTAAGCATTTTTAAAAGATTGAACCGTGTTGTTAAAAACATTTACGCGAGTTGCGTACACTACTTTACCTACGACAGTGTTTTAATTACTAAAAATCACTACTTATATTCTAAGAGAAGTTATGTTTTCGTTTATAACCTCCCATTGCCACTGACAGTGATGCAACGAAACATTGTACTAAACACTAATTATTGTACCAGTCTACAATGAAATTGGCCTGAACAGCTGATTAGTTGAAGTTCGAATCAATACAATTTTACTTCTTCTCTCTCAATCCTCAACCCTCATTGGTCCGTTACCCGTGTTGTTTGTTGTTATTAGTAAAACTGTGCTGTTATGAGAAACTTTTCAAATCTAAGAACTGAACTGAAACGGCTACTTTAAAAATTGGCCGTAGGTAAAATAGTTCTAACGACACTCGTAGAAGTTTTTAAAATGTGTTTAGATCTTGTATGGTATTTAATAAAACAAACAAAATGAATTTAACCATACGGCTGCGAAGAATCATTTAAATTAAACTATGGCCAAAATCACACCTCTTTAAAATAGGATAAAATTAGTACATTTTCGATGTTATAATACACAAGTATAGCATAAACTCACGAAGTTCATTTAAACTAACATAATATAGTACTGTATTACATTCATTTAAATCAAATCCTTATTTTATTATTGGTTAAATTTGAAAAATTAATTATTGAATCCCAGCTACACTTATCTAATTTACATGAAACACACTCTAAAAATTGATATTCTAATTGTTTCGAGCATGGACAAAGTAAATAAAATAGAACGGGGATAACCCAACTCATCACGGTGGTCAAATTTAAGCCGAGGAAAAGTTTTATGGTACCCAAAGGGTCCAGTCACAGACAAAAGTATTATATTGTCTGTGGTCCAGTCCAACTCCACACGGTGGTCACTTTTGGGGGGTAGCGGATTTCTACCCCCGGATATTTACCCCCATGAAAAAACGCCTACGTCATTTTGACGTCACGAGGGGCGGGGCCTATACACGGTCGAGAAACTGCCCGCGACTGGAAATTTACCCCCAATATATTATTGAATAATCAACATGTAATTGTTTGATTATAAAGTGATTTGCCATAGCACGGAAATCTACCCCCGGACATCTACCACCGGAAATCTACCCCCGGACATTTACCCCCGGATATCTACCCCCAGACATTTACCCCCGGATATCTACCCCCGGACATCTACCCCCGGATATCTACCCCCGGAAATCTACCCCCGGACATCTACCCCCAGACATCTACCCCCGGACATATACCCCCAGTGGTTAAATCATAAATATCTGACCCCGGAATTCTCTCCTCGGAAATCAACGGCTCTTCGGTTAATCATTGATTGTCTTGTAATATCCAGTATAAAGCATGCGATATGTCATTGTCTTGTTTAACATTATCTATCTTCCTAATTCAATAAGCTGTAACAGTCCTTTTTCACCCGACCTATTTCGCCGATTGTTACGATTGAGGTGTCATTTTAAAGCTTAAGATCTTGCGCAGAGCAAAATGGTAATTAAAAAGGATATTTTGATTAGGGCTTCAAAAGGTTGACCCCTAAGCCTTTCATGTAAATTTTATATTAGAAAGACGTTAAAAAAGCGTTAAAAACTATCTTTTTGACCCACCATATATCATTTTTATTTTTTATTTTTTATTTTTTTGGATATCATTTTTTGATATCCACCATTTTTAATTTTTCAACTTTTCACCTTTCACAGCTGTTCGTTATTTCATAGATGTCGTATTCTCCAAACAAATTATTAGTATTTCATAAATTACTGGTAAACATTAGGAGTGAATTAGACAAAAATGCAAAAAATTGGGGGTTTGAACAAAATTTATTTTAATTCAAAAGTAGTGAGGCCATATTTTAATGGCTTAAGAGACTCGTGTCAATCCACCGAATCCAAAAAGACTATTTAAATCGAATCACGATCGATGCTCTAGGTTTTGAGGAGAAGGCCACGTAAAATGCCTTCTGGGCCTTGACAGACAAAGCAGAAATTGAGATAAAGACTTGTTTTGGCTTCTTTAATGTGTGAAATGTAAAAATGACCAAAAAATATATAATTTTGAGCAATGTTCGTACTAAACTCTAATTTCATTTACATAAATTCGTAAACCCAAAAGAACCATGAGGTAAAAATACCTTCCCTATCCCGAAATATCCAATTTTATTCTTTTATATTATTCTACGTTATTTCACAACCAGCATTGACAACCAGAACCAATCATAAAATATGTTTATGTTTTATTTTTTACGATTAATTATTTGTGTAAGCAACTAGACTTTTTGGCCAATGTAAAACTCCGGATAGTGTCTACGACATAGGGATTATGCTATTTCGTATTACTAGAAGGTAATTGATAGTGAATAATTATTAATTCATTAATCAACCTCTGGCAGGCTTTTTATCAACATTTAATTGCATTTTTTACCACTAGTAATCCGGAAATAACCTCCTTCAGTGTTATGTTTAAAATTTCACGATCTGCGCTCGTACATGTGCTGTTAGCTATTAGTGTATGTGAAAATTGGTCAACCATTTAAATCACTGTCTGAAAATAAATCAAATGCTTATGGGTTAAACTTTTGAAGCCCTTTATCAAAATATCATTTTAATTACCATTTGCGTTGCACTGAATCTTAAGCTTAAAAATTACACCTAAATCAGTTACAGCTTAATGAATTGGGAAGATAGATGACATTAAACAAGACAACGACATATCACATGCTTAATACTAGATATTAGAGGGTAATTATTAAACGAAGAGCCATTGATTATTTTTATAAACCAATTACTAAAATCAACTACAACAATGAATATTGGCCGATACGTAGTGTAGCACGGGGGGTAGATTTCCGGGGGTAGAATTCCGTGGTCGGACATTTATGATTTGACCACTGGGGGTACATTTCTGGGGGTAGATTTCCGGGGGTAGATGTCGGGGGGTAGATGTCTGGGGGTAGATATCCGGGGGTAGATGTCCGGGGGTACATGTCTGGGGGTAGATGTCCGGGGGTAGATGTCCGGGGGTAGATGTCTGGGGGTAGATTTCCGGGGGTAAAGTTCCGGTGTCAGGTTTATTAGCATTTTGATTAATTACAACTGTTAAGTAAACCGTGAAATGCGAGTTGATTGAATAAATAATAATTTATCCATCCTAAAAGTTCGCGGCCGGAAATTTACCCCCATACATGTGACGTCAAAGTGACGTAGGCGTTTTTTCATGGGGGTAAATATCCGGGGGTAGAAATCCGGCGACCCTATACTTTTGGTATATAGTCCAACTCCGCGCGGTCCAGCTACCTTGTTGTGCTCTCGGATGAGATATGAAGTGTTTAATATAAAATATTCTTATATATATTTATATATATTATACCTATGTTCCAAGATTAATATTTGTTCATAACTACTTTATTCATGTGACAGGTTAGGTTAGGTTAATTATTATGTTTTGATGACTTTGAAACTTATAAATTCACAGTCACTCTTTCTCACTGACTTT